GGCATATGTGGAAGGATCTTCATAGACTTTAGCATTCAAACCAATAGGGCAGTGCTGTGCAGCCCCCTAGGGGCTGCGATAGCCCAATACGGCACTAGAAAATACGAAAAGAAAAGGGGCGCACAAGCCTTGCGCATTACCTCAATAAAAACATTTGTACAAAGTAGCAGATATATACTCACAAACAACAAATGTACACAGGCATTTCATGACCGACAATAGTCCATGGTCTGAAATGGTGCACAAATCCCACAAGCAAAAAGGACACTTGAGAATGGCTGACGCGTTTTGAGGAGTGATATCCTCTTCATCAGAGCCTATTCCTAATGCTGCACAATCACCCCTTATATAACATCATTTGAATCTAGCCCCAATTCTTGTAAATGGGTTCCTCCCATTTGCCGGTGGGCAGGCCTGATATCTAAGGGGTGCGCACTAAACACAATACCCAACATCAGTTATAGCATGACAAGTATAAAACCACACATAAACACATTTCAAATAGTAATTATCGCTCATATTAATGTACATACCTATGCATGTTAAAATAGGAAGCAAAGGACACAGTAACCTACCATATATATGTATTATTATATAGAATATATTAGATAGAATGTATTATTAGATAGATACTTTTACCATATTCAGTGTCTAGTGGCCTTATTCATTGGCTTCAGCTACAGTGGAAGGGGGAGAAAAACCTTCTTGTGAAGATGGGAGGTTCAGGTAAGCAGCACTGAGAGAGTAGGAGCCAGCAGCAATGAAAGTTGTAAACTGCAAGTGCTAGGGTAAGATTTATAACAAATAGTTTACTGAGGGATGTTTATTTTATTGTAGGACAGTGTGTTAAACTAAAAAATGCTGCCGGTTTAATACTACTTCTCTTAACAGAGAAGAGAGTTTAAATCCTGCACAGGAAAATTATGCATTTTCACGTGTGGGCTGGTGTCCTTGATGTGCAGGATTGGGGGGGGGGGGGGGATTCGAAGGCATTGTTTTCTTTTTTTTTTCTTACCTGTATTGAAACACTCTGCTGTGCTGCATAGAAATGCAGGGACATATCAGAGAACTGTGCTGCAGAAAAAACGCACACATGCTGCAGATTTCTGCACAGCAATACTGCACACATGCCACCTGCATTCTAATGTGCACAGGGCGCAAAAAAAAATATTTTTCTAGTGCGAACAAGCTCTACAAAAACAAAAATCCCTTTTTCTTTGAACCCTTTATTAACTATTTGTTATTCCTAATTCACACTGGTTACCTCCTTTGTCTCCCTGTTCTCCTTAGGGTTTTTTTTTCTCTTTTGTTTTTTTTTTTCTTTGCCAAATACATACAGTATTGTTCATTAAAAATATTTTTTGTGTTCATTTTATTCATTACCTTTTGGATAATAGATGTAACTACTCTCAGAATAAAATTACTATTTTATATATTTTTAGATGCACTTGTTTTAAAATGATCACTATAACACTTGTTTTAAAATGTATTTTAAATTTTAATTATGCACCCATAGCTGAAAATGGCTCAATTGGTTAATCATAAAGGTACAGGCCTTAAAAATACACAATTGCTGTACATTGTGACCTGTCAGGAATTTATTTGTGCAAACTTGTAAATTTACGTAGAGGTTCGCTTTAAGGCTACGTTCACACTAGCGTTGTGTGCAGGCGGCAGAGAGGCGTTTGGGAAGCGTTTTTACCGCTTTTCAAACGCCTCTGGCAATTCTGCACATTGCAGCACATGGTGCTGTTCTAACGGGAGCGGTAGCGTCGTGGTGCGGCAAAACAGACGCCTCTGGACGAGTCAGGAGGTGTTGAAGCCTCCTATTCTTGTCTATGGTGCCGCTCCGCAAACGCCCGGCCGACGTTTGTGGCCCGGTTGCGGAGCGGTAACACCATTCAAACTTCATTCTAGGCATTTGTGGGGCGTTTTTAACGCTCGGCAAACGCCTAGCAACCTGCGCTAAACCGCGCATATCAGGCCTGCCCACCAGCAAATGGGAGGAACCTATTTACAAGAATTGGGGCTAGATTCAAATGATGTTATATAAGGGGTGATTATGCAGCATTAAGAATAGGCTCTGATGAAGAGGATATCACTCCTCGGAACGCGTCAGCCATTCTCAAGTGTCCTTTTTGCTTGTGGGATTTGTGCACCGTTAAAAAATGCTCCGCAAACGCCGGACCAACGCTTGCCAAACACTATAGGGGTGTTTGGCAAGCGTTGGTAAAACAGTCAAGTGTGAACGAGCCCTTATGCTTAGGGCTATGGGCTTAGGGTAAAAGGAAGTTCTTCTGTAAGGGCTCATGTACACGGGGTGTTTGGAAAACTCTTCTGAACGATGGAAACTGACTGCTGGAAAATGTAGGTTAAAAAACGTCAGTTTAGCCGCGTTTGCATACCGCGTTTATGCATGTTTGCGTTTAGTAGCGTTTTTAAACGATAACCTCAGGAGACCCTCCCAATTGCCCAGAAAAATAGTAAATAATTAACTATTTCAGACATTTTGAGAGAAATAGAGAGATCAGAAGCAGAGAGATCAGTATGTGTTGACCTGTCTTTTCTGGTTGTATTCACTATGGATCCCATCATGAGCATAATGCGGCACGTTCTACCATTTTTTCCTTCAATCCAAACCTGGAACTGACTGCACTGGTGTACCAGGTTCATTTGAATACATGGAAAACGCTTGGCATGCATTTCTGATGATGAAAAAAGGCTCTGGACAGCATCTGGATATGGAACAGTTAAAAAACGCAAATGCTTATAAACACTGTTAACCACGCTTACACACATTTACAATTCTTTGGCGTTTGAAATAAAATCTACTCCTGAACACAAGTTTGGTGCGTTCAAAAAAAATGACTTTAAACTCAACTGCCTGTAAACGACATAGTGTACATGGACACATAGGACACATTAGGGAGAGTTCAGGGGCTGCTGAAAAAACCGCTGAACAGCTCATCAGCTGCAGTGTACATGAACCCTAAAGGTGTAACATGAGGCCTGGTGCAGAGGGCCACTACAGATCATGTACAAATCATGAATCATGAGCCAGCAGGCATCAATTCACGGTTAGCTTTCAGCGCCATCTGCAGGTATGTTCTGGTAGTTTGATTGTACCACTAACCTGCATAATGATACAGTACGTGTGCTATTTTTTTTTTTTTTTTTTTTTTAATCCAAAAAATTCTTTATTGAAGTGAAAGGCATTTCAGATCATAAGCAGATACGGAGCACAGTCCGCATACATATAACTGATTTAATCTCCCGTGACGCAGACGGGTAAGCAGATATGCATGTGAAATGTACATTGAACAGAAACAAAAAAACACGATACCCAGCAAGCGATATACACCAAAAAATTATTGAATATAGATGGTAATCGAAATAAGTATGAAGGATGTAAATTTAAGGGGCAGAATTTGCTCAGGCAAGCGGGCAGTGGAGCAAAAGACAGCAATAGCGTCTAAAGCGCCCACATCGTATGATTCCGTATATGTGTTCTATTATATCTCAATAGTATCTGTGCTATTATTTTCTGCGAATTAATGTCTTTTTGTTAGCGGATGTGGTTTTCTTTCCTGCAACCATGGCCAAATCACTCAATTCCCCCATCAATACAGTCAGTGTCTATGGGGGAATCCCTCCCGCGAAACTTTTGTGTTCTTCCAGCAGAGAGCCTTCCCAGCCAGCAGAATACAATGACTACTGTTAGCAACTATAGCCGCTGGCAGTAAAAAATATGACGTGCTTGTTCCACTGAAGTCAATCGATGGATTGACTTGGGTACAACCAGTCTGCCCATAGATAGATCAAATCTTGACCAGTCCCTGCTGAACCAGCTGAGATTTAAAGGATAAGTTCACCTTGGGGAACATATTACATGTTCCACCCGTTTTTAGGGTGGAACATGTAACATGTTCCCAGGGGCGAACTGATCATTTGGGAACTAGGGCACCGCCCAAGGGGGGCCCCATGAGATGCCCCTGGTACCTTTCATAGGCTTTTTTGGGTGTGGGTGAGGACACAGGGGCCCCATGATCCCCTATTGCCCGGGGGCCCCATGAGTTTTCAGTCCACCCCTGCATGTTCCTATAGCTGCAGCCATGCCCACCGCCCCCTCCCTCTAACAGATTAAACTAGGAGAAGTTTGCCTGTACTATCTGTCAGATTTGAAAACAGCAAGGCCGTGCGGGGACACAGCCGCGTCATTCATTCACGGACTTCCGTGAATGGATGAACTGCAAATCCCGACAGCCTTAGCGGCTGTGGCTTGCAATTTTCAATGAACTACCACAGCACTGTGGAATGCCGTGGTAGTTCATTGAAGCTTCCTGTCAGAATATCTGCTTGACCATACATCCAATACAGCAAGCAGATATTCTGACAGGTCTGCAGGAGACCTGCATGTCATCAGAGATCTACTGATCTCTGGTGCAATGCTTTCCAGGCTCCTTTGACCAAAAATAATAAATGCACTTTTTTTTTACCTGCAAAAAAATGTGCATTTATTATATTTGTCCAAAAGGTGAATTTATCCTTTAATGTATCTATGGCCAGCTGTAGGCTACAATTGGATTTGGTCCCTAAATATCTCTGTGCCATGAGGTCTATGCAGGCCATAGATGGGTTATCGGCCAAATTTTTGTCCGCACGAAAAAAAATTGGCCGATATACATGCCGTTAGTAGGGCAATACCGTCGGCCGTTTTTGCGGATCTTCTCGTTTACTTTTATTGGTCTTGCTGGAAAATCCATGCCAACAGCCGTTCTTCGTGGACATTGGTGGCAGCAACGCTGCCAGCAACGACCGATTTTTTGTTTATTGACGACAATTCGGCCAATAAACGGCCTGTCTATGGCCTGCCTTAGTCTGCCCATTTAAAGGGATATCCATTCTTTGTAGAAAAAACAAATATCCTCTCACTGACTGGAGCCAATGGCCAAACATACTGTATGGGAAATCCGTTTTACTAAATCTTTTCTTGATTGCAGCCTGAAGATCGGAAACTTCTGAAGGAAGTTGGACCCAAAGGTGAAGGTAGAATTGCTACTGTTGAGGAACTCTTGGATGAGGTATTTTGAAGGAAGATAAGTTTATATTTGTACCTTTCATAATGAACCAAATTACAAATGTATCATCTCTTTAACCGCTATACACATCATCACATTGTAATGGATAAGTATCAGATCATTACAATAACATTTTTTATACCTTTATACCCCCACCCCTTCCAAAATGCCCCCTTTGTCAAAATAGATATCTTTGTTTTGGATGGAATGAGGAAGGGCTTATTGGTACACATTCAGGTTTTTTTTCGTTTAACCCAGTGGACTGAGCGAAAACAACTGAGAGATCATTGTACTCTCTTCCTTTGTGCCTCTGTGTTCTGACAGGGGAACTCCACCCCGCCAAAACACACTAATAAGTGCCCAGCGCTGATCGGATACTGGTTGCATCCAGCTGAACCGGATGATATTTGGACAGTGTGTACCCAGCTTTAATTCTTCACTGGGTCTTCATGCTGCTTAGGTAAACGAAAAGAGTTCTTGCCTATTGATGAAAGCTGGAAGCCAACTTCTGTTGTCACGGGCTTGTCTGTTCTCCAGAGTACCTTATGGAGAATCTATTACAGGGCACAAGGCAGCTGGTAAGACCTAACAAATAATCAATCTCCAACCTATTGCTTCCAAAAGTGGAGAACACATTGGGGGAGATTTACTAAAACTGGAGCACACAAAATCAGGTGCAGATGTGCATAGTAACCAATGAGTTTCTAACTTCAGCTTGTTCAGTTAAGCTTGGACAAGAAAACCTAGGAGCTGATAGGTTACTTTGCACAACTGTACCAGATTCTGTGTGAACCAGTTTTAATAAATCTCCCTCCTTGTTTAAACCTGAGTACATTATTATATATATTTTTCAGTAATAACGATTTTGTTTTGGCAGAGATTAAAGCTTCATGCACACTTGGGCTTTTTAACCCTTTCCTCCTAGCAGGAGAAAAGCAGCTTAAAAACGTGCTTAAGCTGTGTTTTTGCAAACACGTTTATGAGTGTCAAGCACTTGTACATTTATTTATTTCATTGGTCATTTATTTCATTTTAATTTATTAAAAATACTCAAGTGCTAATCGCACCTAGAGCTTAGGTGCGTTTAGACCCATTTACACACGTTTAGGGCAGTTTTTTTCTGCCAAAACACTCCTCTCTTGAATGCACAAGTGATGGGTTCTTTTTCTGCCTTTAAACTCCTGTAAATGCCTTTGTGTGGATGGACACATAGACAAACATGGAGGGAGATTAAAAAAAAAACCTCAAAACAGGTGTTTTTGAGCTCAAGTGTGCATGAGGCTTGAAACTGTTGAATGTTTATGTGGCTGTGCTTGGCAAAAGTTTAGAAAATATTAATTTATTCTTGCTATGCTGTTTTTCAACCCTTATTTGTAGGGAGCAGATCCAAATTGTAGTAACAATGAAGATCGTCCAGTGCTAACAGTGGCAGTTCTCAGTGGACATCACAAAGTCATACCTGTACTAGTGCAGAAAGGAGCTGATATTGACCAGCAGTCTGGATCGTATGTACCTATATGTTAATACATTTTTGGAAAGACATTATAAGAACAGAATTAAATCGGTTTAGTAGATCTCAGAAACTTTTCAGTTCACAGTAATAGTGATACCATACTTGCCTCATCTGTACTCATAGTAGAAAGTCCATTTCTCTCTTTAATTGCCCAGCCTGCTCCAAACTTAAAAGGGAGAGTTTGATTGCTTGGTAAAAGCACAAGGTCACTTTAACTCATCAATTTTTTATTCCCATCATTTTCTTTGCTTTTTAAGTCATTTGCTTTGTTCGCCTCCTTACCAGTTGTATGTCAAACAGTGGTCTTCCCTGGTTTTGTCCCACAGGCAAAATAACACTGCTCTCCACGAGGCTGTCCAGCTTGACATGGAACGGAAGATGTGCACTGAAGTCTTGCTAGGGTAAGAAAATTGTGATCTTGGCAAAACAAAAGATAATCTGAAATACAGGCATATTAATATTTATAATGTGTACTAATAATATGTGTAATAGAGGCCTAGAGTTCATTGAAAAGGAGATTTTTGCAGGCGATCAGTAGATAAAAGAAGTAATATTCTCCAATAGTCTTTGTTAAATCAGGTTTAGTATAATGTAAAACAAGGAATGACCAGGGGCGGACTGTCCATTTGGAAACTCAGGCACTGCCCGAGGGCCCGGGGTTAGTAAGGGGCCCCATGAGATGCCCCTGGTACCTTTTTCATAGGCTTTTTTGAGTTTTGGCAAGGACACAGGGGCCCCATGATCCCCTATTGCCTGGGGGCGCCATGGGTTGTCAGTCCGCCCCTGGCAATGACAATACCCAGAGAAAGTACCCAGTCAATGGACTGTAAAAAACATTACATAGTTGGTGCAGGGTTTTCCTGGGGACATTGATGTTGTGGACTGGCAAGCAGAAGGTACAATGTCTGCTGGCATCTTATTGGGTTATAAATGTTTTACAAATGACAGGGGAGTAGTGAGCCATTCATCAGTATGTGAATTTTAGCATAGTTCAGATAAACACAGGTCTATGAAAAATACATAAAAAAAAGAATAAAAAGGCAGATTTAATGGACTACTGGTCCTGTGGGTTAGACCAACCGAACATATGCTGTCATCGCACCAGGAAAAAGTACTGTGAAACTTACTACTTACTCATAATTCAACATCTAATTGCATTTAATCTGTTTTTGTTGTTTAGATGCAATGCAAGCATAAAAAAGAAAAATAATAAAGGGATGACTGCATATGATTTAGCTCTAAAGAGTGGAAATGACCAGATCTCCTCACTCTTTGCCTCCAAACTGGGACAAGGTATGCTGGATAAACTCACCAAACCAAAAAACATCAGCCTGGATGTGTTCTAAGCAGATATATTGTTTCTGCTGTGGTTTGATGTCTCTACCCGTCAAGAAAGATGGCGTGAAAAATACAGAACTGCAAAATGGTGTTCTAAACAATATAGTGTTGCTGTGGTTTGATGTCTGAATTAGGATGCCATAAAAAGTGCTGGAATGAATTATTTGGGCGGCTTGGACAGTCTTCAGAAACTCTCAGGAATTTTGTGATCTTCTCTCTATATAAACCGTATGTTGCCTGTGATATCTGGCCAAAGTGGTGGGGGTTATGGGGATAACAGTGGTGGTGGGGGGAATCACGGGGTGGTGGGGTCCCACTACTGTTCTTCCCCTACCCTGGGCTTTCCCCCCATTTTTTTTCTTTCCTACCTTAGCAACCTACTGTATACTTATCAGCTTCCCTGGCCCTTAGAGCATACATACTCTTCCCCCTTCCCTTTGGTTTCAAAGGCATACCTTTTAATTTCCCATTTTCTTTCAAAGGTTTTATACTGTATGTTATTTACTGTTTTTTTTTTTTTTTCTGAAAGATATCAATCAGTTAATGGATCATTCACGTGCTATATTCCATAAATTACAGCAACACTAATCTTTACAAAAACACTTAAATATGCCTTGTAAGCCTTTTAAAAGTCAATAAAGTCAGATTATACAAAGAGCAGGAATGGAAATCATGTTCTGAGCAGAGATATTGCTTGTTGCAAATTAACATCTCTAACAACCAAATGAATGATGGCGTGAAAAATCCAACAGTGAAAAATAAAAGCTTTGATTCAAGTGGAAATTAATTTTAAAAACAAGAAGGTAATTATTTTATACTGAATTTTCTTTAACCTTATTCATCCAGAAAGGGATCAGTATTATAAGAGGGCTGTTAGGTTAAGACAAGAGTAAATTTAGCTGCAAACCAATGAACTATATCTGGTCATTTCCTCCTGGGTCTTGATCAAGGGAAGGCAGTACAGGATTGATTACAGTACAGCCTCTTCTTGGTTAATTGATCGATCCTGTGAAGTAAATACATCGTCTTGGTAAACCTGAATGTTGGTGACTGTCGTTAACCCCAATTTCCTCTACATTGGTACTTCCTACTGGTTAAAAGTAGAACACACAGTCATTTCCAATTTGGCTTATTTCATGTCAATGTGGATCATAAATCTCTTTTTGGATTCTAGAAGAAACATGCAGACAGCAGTACATAAACATTTACATATAATTTTCCTTTATGTCATCTAATACGATGCATTAAATGAACACCTCTGGTTCTAAGAAGCCATGTGCTCTATACTCCCAAGCACCTGATCAGTTCAGTTCCTTAAATATTAGAATTATATTAAATGACACACACTTATAACTATAATTCTGTGAAGAAATCTGGAAAGCTAAATCTGAGTGTTAAAGTGTTACTAAATCCACAACAGTAAAATCTGTCTGTATATGCAGTAAAGCATGCTTGTTATGCTCACTGTGGAACCTAAGGGGTTAATCCTCTGTATTGTGTAAGAATGCCGTTTGATCCTGTCTTCTCTGACCTCCCCCCCCCCCCCCCCCCCTTCCAGTGTTTCCCTCTTATCTCCTGATAAGACATATTGTGTGGAGACACTCTGCACATGCTCAATTTGGTGTGTATTGCTAGAAAGGATTTTTGTTTTCTTGGGAGAGTGCACGTGATCAGCACAGGGCCAATCAGCACTGTCCAGACAGAGGTCAGGGGTTCTGCATCCTCCTAGAGAAAACGTCTCCTACAAGTTTTAACCAGTGCTACTGGACACTGATAGAAATCACAAGACTGCTCTAACTGCTGATGAGAAAAGGTATTTAGCAGTTTATATTTACTAAAATAATTGCATTTCCATGTTCTGTGTACTGTGGAAGACCGGATATAGTGAATGCAGGGTCCTGGGGTTAGTAACACTTTAAGGACAGATTTTTTTTTCTATATACAGTAAGGAAGGGTTGTAACCTCTGAAAGGTTTTTATTATTGAAGAAGAGAAATAGCAGAGCATTGGACCCCTGGTAGGGGCAGTATTCCGGGCTGATGTGACAACTCTTTTGAGGCATCTCCCAAGCACACAATGGGCCCTTAAATGACCCCTGGGGGAATGTTTCATCAGCTTAATGTAGGGAGTGCCTTGGAAACCCTGAAACTTGTTGGCTGTTTTTACAAAAATACTATGATACATACATTTTTTCTAAAAAAGCCCGAAAGGTCTTTATTTCTGTCTGACTTCTCAGTAATATTGTCCCTCACTGTTTGCCCCAGTAACAATGTAGCCTAGACAAGAAGTTAAAAAATTAAACGCTTCTAGTGTCCCCCTACTAAAAAAAGGAAAAAACGTGTTTTATGTTGGTCTTTGTTTCTCTCGGTGATTTCACTTCACCTCTTGTCCTCCCTCTTCCTTAAACACATGCTCAAGTGTGGGGGAATCTCTTCCTATGGGCCACAAAGAGATTTAAAAACTGGCAGAGGTTTCAACCATTCCACACTCTAGTAAGATATACACTGCTCAAAAAAATTTAAGGAACACTTTGAAAACACATTAGATCTCAATGGGGGAAAATCTCATGCTGGATAACTATACTGAAATGGAATGGATAATGTGTTAGGAATGTAAGGATGCCCCATTGTTTGATAGAAATGCAAATTATCAACCTACAAAGGACTGAATTCAAAAGCACCCCAAAAATCAAAGTGAATGATGCAGCAGGCTAGTCCATTTTGCTGAAATGTCATTGCAGCAACTCAAAACAATTTGTATGGCCCCCACATGCTTGCATGCATGCCTGACAATGTTGGGGCATGCTCCTAATGAAATGACGGATGGTGTCCTGGGTTATTTCCTCCCAGATCTGGACCAGGGCATCACTGAGCTCATGGACAGTCTGAGGTGCAACCTGGCGGCATCAGATAGACCAAAACATGATATCCCAGAGGTGTTCTATTGGATTTAGGTCAGGCGAGCGTGGGGGCTATTCAATGGTATCAATTCCTTCAACCCTCCAGGAACTGCCTGCATACTCTTGCCACATGAAGCCGGGCATTGGCGTGCACCAGGAGGAATCCAAGACCCACTGCACCAGCGTAGGGTCTGACAATGGGTCCAAGGATTTCATCCCGATACCTAATGGCAGTCAGGGTACCATTGTCTAGCCTGTAGAGGTCTGTGTGTCCCTGCAGCCTTCCCAGACCATCACTGACCCACCACCAAAACGGTCATGCTGAACAATGTTACAAGCAGAAAAACGGTCTCCATGGCTTCTCCAGACCCTTTCACGTCTGTCTCATGTGCTCAGGGTGAACCTGCTCTCATCTGTGAAAAGCACAGGGCACCAGTAGCAGACCTGCCAATTCTGGTGTTCAGTGGCAAATGACAATCGAGCTCTATGGTGCCAGGCAGTGAGCACAGGGCCTACTTGAGGATGTCGGGCCCTCAGGCCACCTTCATGAAGTCTGTTTCTGATTGTTTGGTCAGAGACATTCACACCAGTGGCCTGCTGGAGGCCATTTTGTAGGGCTCTGGCAGTGCTCATGGCAGTGTATTTAAATGATAATACCCAATCATTTAAAATCAATGAAAAGTCTTTCACATATTTTATTTACTGTAGATTAGACTGGAGGAACATGCGAAATAACTTTCTGGTCTCAGAACTCCTGCTAATAATTACTATATCCACAGCTTGAAGTGATTGTAGCTGTATTAGTGCATTTGCGACTGAAACAATTGAGTACTGTCAGTCATACTTTTTTTATTTGCACTAACATACAATTTTGAGGACAAGCTTTTGGGGAATGTCCCCTTCTTCAAGGTCCAAGCAGTACTAATCACAAAGTTTAAGCAGAATGTTAGAAGAGACAGGGGATGAGAAAAAAAAAAAAAAGGAGACTAGAGATAAGACACAGCAAAAGCAAAGACTGGGGGGGGGGGGGGGGGGGGGGGGGGAGACAACACTCACAGAGGGAGTCATGCTTGAGGTGATAGTCATAAAACTGTTGGATAATGATTGAGGAATCCCATGTCCAAATTAAGGCCGTTATCTCTTGTGTCAAATAGAATTATCATTCTTAGTTCAAAAGTTTTTCTTTCCTGAATGGTTTTTAAATTTCCTTTAAGAACTAAAATATTGAGGTCTCCCATTGTGTGACCTGGTTGTGCGAAATGGTGTCCCACAGGTGTGAAAAAGTCATCTTCTTTATGTTCCTCGATGGTATGTCTGTGCAAATTCATCCTTGTTTGCAGGTTCTGTCCTGTTTCGCCAACATAAGATCCTTTGCTACATTTTCTGCACTGGATAAGGTACAGGTATTATATCCACAGCTCAAATTATATTACTGTGATGACTTCCAAAACGTGCAGCGCTTTGGAAAAAATGTGCAAACTCAGCTGTTACTTTTACAAACTCCAAAAAAAAAAAAATTCACATACACATAACACTTAACTTGTGAATGGCCACAAATACAAATCCAACTATTGCCCCACACCAAGTAAACACAATGTAGCTGTTATACAAAGTAAATAAACTCAACATTGCTCTCAATCAAAAAGTGTGTGAAAGGAAGTCCAAAATAAACCAGCATGTGATAAGAAAAGTTAATTTAAGAAAAGTCCCAATTCCAAGTGAGTAGCATTAATCCTTCCTGATTATCATTCCTGTGATGGTGGCAACATGTAAATTCATGTAGTGTGTCACCCCATACCTTGCACAATTGTGGCTTACCAGATCGATTTGACCCCCCCCCCCTCCCCGTTACAGGGTGGTCAAAATCCTCTTTATATTGATGAATACTGATGGCTTTCACCTCCTCCACACACTCAGATATACCAAAAACAAAGTCCTCTTGATTCACAATCTCCACTGGCTCTCAGTGTCTCAAACCTCCAGGAGCTTCAATTAAAGCTAAAAGCAAGAAAGCTTCCTATAGTGTGAAACCATATTTAAAACCCTTTATTGGATTAAAAATACAATTACTATTGTATTGAATTGTAGTTAAGTTACAGCTCTGTACATA